CATTATGCCTGACTTCAAATCCATTACCAAAAACTAGATTTGGGTAGTGATTTGCCTAGGATATTCTCCTAATACTAATGACAAAGTTATCATTCCTTCTGATAAGACAGCAAGACTAGTGAAACCCACAAGGGGTCCTCTGCAAGGGAGGAGGTGGGATTTGTCAATTCCCATCTAATTGAAGGCACTGGTATATAAGACGTCCATCAAACTTATGGTGTTGACCATAAATCTTTTCACCTGATAACCATTAATGACTACAGTGATAACAAGAGGATCATCATGGGGTGTCTCAACACCCTGTAGGTCATCATCGCTAAAAGATATGAGCTCTTCTGTCTTCGTCTTCTTGGAATTATGGTCAACTTGCAGCGTTCTTCTAGCATATCTCTTTCGCTCATTATTGGATGACCCCGTAATTGTAGGACCACCACTTATTACATTGATGACTCCTTTATGAGTAGTCTCTAGGGGTCGCTCGTCTATTTGAGGTCGAGGCCGAAGTGATCGCGAGCGGGATCTCCTATCATTTCTGGTTAGGGAAGTATCATTGCGATCTCTCCAGGAAGTGAGATTTCTCAAGTATCCCCTCTCAATCAGATCCTCTATATCCCTCTTGAGGATTCCATAATCACTGGTAAGGTGCCCGTGATCCTGATGGTAAAGACAAAATTGCTTGGTGTCCCTGCTTCTAGGATCTGGTGTCATCTTGGGTGTAGGATCTTTGAGATATTCCTCCCTCTGGACCATAGACAAGGCATTAGTAAGTGAGGTGTCGAAGATGGTTAGAGGCTCCTTTGGTGATAGATTTCTCTGCTGATTCCTCTTATCAGATTGATTAGGATGGGGGTTGGCCCTTGGAGGATTCTTGTGCTATTCTAGCTTCGGAGGACTCCTGATCAGTTCAGGGGGCAAAATTACCATTGGCACTGTTGGAGGGTTTGATGGAACAGCCATAGTTGCTGGTGTTGTTGAAGTCGTGGCAATGGGAGCCTCCATGCTCCTCGCAGAAGCCTTGTAAGCCCGGGCTTCCTTCATGTCCATGTATCCATGGGCTTTGGTCATCAATTGCTCATAATTGATGACTGGTTTCCTAGCAAGAGAGTCGGCCAGTTCATTGCTCTGCAACCAGTGATGAGTGTTGACATGGTGACTGTGCTTCTAGGATCATTGACTTCAAACCTCTTAGCTTAAAATCTCTTGAAGTAGGCCCAGAGGCTTTCTTCTGGTCCTTGCCTCATTTGGATCAGCACATAAGGGGGAGCTTCTGTTTGGTGTCAGCTAGGAAGTGGTGGATGAACTTTCGACTAAGCTGTTGAAAATTACTGATGGATCTTCTACCTAAAGTGTTTCACCAAAGTTTAGCATTTCCAGTGAGGGTGATAGGGAAGCACCGATAGAGGATTGCTTCAGAAACTTGGAGCATACTCATTATATCGAAATAGTTTTGAACGTGTTCAGAAGGATCTCCTTCACCCGAGTATGTCCCTAAGTGGGGTATTTTAAACTTCTCGAACGAGCATTCCATTATCTCGTCTGAGAGTGGGGTATTCCCTCCGATCACATTAGCAATCGACCTATATACTCGATCATAGGCGGAGGCTCCTGCACTAGCCGATGAGGACGAGAAAGCACGATGGTGGGGCGTCTGGAAGCCCATTCCTCTAGCACGCTCCTCCGAATGACTAGGACTGGGACTTTCATCATAGGTCTTTAGATGAGGATGGCAAAGCCATTCCAGTTGAGATAAGATGCCCGATTGCTTGAGACGACTCTCCGTCTGCTTAGGGGGATTATGAGGAGTCTGCGGTGAGATGCCCCGTTGCTGGGAAGGAGGTGCTCCCGATCATCGGTCTCTAGAAGGTGGAGGTGGTGCAGTGGCATGCGGCGGCACTGGGATTCGCCATAGAATTTCGTTAGTCAAGATTAGAAGGTGGAGGTGGTGCAGTGGCATGCGGCGGCACTGGGATTCGCCATAGAATTTCGTTAGTCAAGATGGCAAATTGCTCTTTAAGTGATAGGGAGAGCTAGTTCACCGCTTGTTCTAGTTGATCCTAGGTAACGTAATTAGGTCACTGTCCCCCAGGTTAGGACTACTCAGATCCTAGATTGGAGCCTGACATTTTTTCTCAAAAAAGGAAAAGAAGCCCCACGGTGGGCGCCAATCTGTTAATGCTAAATATCACACAACCAATTAAAGTCACTGAGTTTATATAAAAAAGAAGGGGTCTCTTTTTTCTTCGACTCTATGCCTGATTCTAGAATTAGGATGACCGAGCAATCTGCACACAAAGATTCGTAAGAGGGTGAGGATGAGTTCCTCCATGATACCTCCGACGATCAAGTCAGTTGATGAACTTGAGTGGGGTCAAAGAAGAACTGTGTTCTTGTTTTTGTGCAGTGTGTGCTTTAGGGGGTTTAATATTGAGAACATTTGGCTATGGCAAATATCATCTGTACTTATAGAGGATGCCAAGGGTAGATTGGTCATTTCATGAGTGTACTGAAAGACGGTAGTGAGGGGTGAGCTAGAAGTTGAGTCATCTTTTACTTTACACGTGTTGGTTAGTGAGTGACGGGAGGTCACTTCAGCAACATTGGGAACCAACAGTCCGACGAGTCTTCAAGACTATTGAGAATGGAGACATAATGATGATCATTGAAGATTAAACAATATTGAGAAGTGACACTAATGTCGATTGGTTCGAGGCAAGGATAATCTCTTAGCTTCGTCGAGAAGCAAGGCCTGTAATGTCATATCTTCGAGTTGTTGACTCTCGTGTCGACTGACACCGCTTTTCGTGTCGACACAAGAGTGTTGGCTTGCCCGACTGGTCGGAATGCCGTCTTGTCCCAGCTAACAACCATCTCTCGAGTAGATATAGAGATGTCGACTCGTCTCAGAGGTCAGGATCTCTCGTGCCGACCGACATCGCCTTTCGTGTCGACATAAGAGTGTCAGCTAGGAAGTGGTGGATGAACTTTCGACTAAGCTGTTGAAAATTACTGATGGATCTTCTACCTAAAGTGTTTCACCAAAGTTTAGCATTTCCAGTGAGGGTGATAGGAAAGCACCGATAGAGGATTGCTTCAGAAACTTGGAGCATACTCATTATATCGAAATAGTTTTGAACGTGTTCAGAAAAATCTCCTTCACCCGAGTATGTCCCTAAGTGGGGTATTTTAAACTTCTCGAACGGGCATTCCATTATCTCGTCTGAGAGTGGGGTATTCCCTCCGATCATATCAGCAATCGACCTATATACTCGATCATAGGTGGAGGCTCATGCACTAGCCGATGAGTACGAGAAAGCACGATGGTGGGGCGTCTGGAAGCCCATTCCTCTAGCACGCTCCTCCGAATGACTAGGACTGGGACTTTCATCATAGGTCTTTAGATGAGGACGGCAAAGCCATTCTAGTTGAGATAAGATGCCCGATTGCTTGAGACGACTCTCCGTCTCTTAGGGGGATTATGAGGAGTCTGCGGTGAGATGCCCCGTTGCTGGGAAGGAGGTGCTCCCGATCATCGGTCTCTAGAAGGTGGAGGTGGTGCAGTGGCATGCGGCGGCACTGGGATTCGCCATAGAATTTCGTTAGTCAAGATTGTTTGACCCTATAAGGGGGGTGATTAGGGTCTTATGCTAATCTAATCCGATTTTATACCAATTAAAACTTATTAACAAGTTATCCTAGCAAGTATGAAATACAATAATATATATGAGCTAGGATAAGTAATATGAACAACAAGATATATCCTAACAAAGAGATATTAGCAATGTATGTGCAAGGATATATAAACAACACAAGGGTAAATAAGCAATGCACAATTGGCGATATAAGATAAATGCAAAAGCAAATGCGCCAAAGACAAACTCAAACACACTCAAATGATCACGGAGTTCGGACCTTCCGTCCTACGTCTCCGCTCCCCTCTCCCGGGGAGAAATCCACTATCACAACCGGGTTTTCTTCGCTCACCCAAATAACGTTTACAACCATACTATTGTAGGCGTATAAAATTGCCTATAGGTCCCTTAGCACAGCTCGACGCCGATTTAACAAACGGACCACCGGGCGACGTATCCAAACAAGACCGTTAGCTCGCCAACGCTGAAGCCAAGCTATACGCAACGGAGCAGGTTAACGAGGCGACAAATCGCACCCAAGCATTGGAATGCATCCACTCGCACGCGGAATCAAACCAATGTTTAGGTGAATCACCGAGTCATCTAAACAAGAGCGAACTCGGATGAATCACGATCAAATCAACATCAATTCCGGACTCAAATTCAGAAGTTGGTTTACTGCCATATCAGGAACCCGACTCACTGCCAAATCTGGAATCAAGTCAAAGAGTCGTTGCCAAGTCAATCAACCACACAAGAGAACCAGAACCGGAAACAAAGGACGAAACGGACAAACACCCGGGGACTCGGCCGAAACCGAACCACCCCAGGGTGGCTCGGCCAAGGCCGAGCCACCCTGAGGTGGCTCGGCCAAAGCCGAGCCACCCCAGGGTGGCTCGGCCAAGGCCGAGCCACCCTGAGGTGGCTCGGCCAAAGCCGAGCCACCCCAGGGTGGCTCGGCCAAGGCCGAGCCACCCTGAGGTGGCTCGGCCAAAGCCGAGCCACCCCAGGGTGGCTCGGCCAAGGCCGAGCCACCCTGAGGTGGCTCGGCCAAGGCCGAGCCACCCATGGGTGGCTAGGCTCAGAACTGTGCAAATGCACAGTTCTGAGTGCCTATAAATAGGCCTTGTGCTCATTTGTTTCAGAGGTTGGAAATTTTGGAGAGAGGCGAAGCCCTGCTGGATTGAAGACTCAGATCTAAAAAAGATCACAACTTTGAAGGCTTGGAGACTTGGACTTTCAGATCCGGTGCTCGGTGATCACCAACGCCAAATAAGGCAGGAGTTCGAGAGGATTGGATCTGAGATCTACACGATTACACTCCGGATCTAAGCTTGGTTCTTAGATCCCGAGATTCGAGCGGTTGTTTCCTTGGTGAAACAATCCCTCCCGGCTATTATTCCCTTGGTGGAATATTACCCGTCATATCGTGTAGATCCGACCGGATCGAGATCACGCGGTGGTCCACGGCAAATAACCCCGGCGCAGGCAAAGAACCCACCAAAGCGAGCGACCGCAAAACAGGAGCTCGCGATTAGTTCGACAAATAAGGAAAATTGTAATCTTTACTTTGTTTTCTTTGATTTTTCATTGTAACCGGATCTTATAAAAAGACCGGATCTTTGTAACGCATAAAGTTGTTAACTGAGATAGCAATGATATCAACAACGAAGAAAGCCATAATTTTTCCCGCGAACAACTATGTCGGTTTTCAACGATCACCGATCAACGTATACACTCACTCATAATGTCGGTTTTCAACGTTCACCGATCAACGTCCACTCCTCACACTCAGTTTTCTAGCTAACCGAAAACTTTACAATCACCACTCTTGCAATCCTACTCTACACCCTCTCAATTATTGAACTAGACGTGTCTCCCTCAAGTGCTCGGTTACAACCTCTCCCTAGGTTCGTCAACCGACGCCGCTCCTCTTGGGATGATCCCCGACTCTCGCCACACACTTCTCTCGGTGTACAAGTGTATTACAAAGTGAATCTCACAATAAAGCTCAATACAATAAATGTTTGTTCTCTACTAGATGAGAACACAATGAAAGCTCACACTCAATTGTTACAACTCTCACCAACCCAAAATATATTATGAATGCAAATACAATAAGCTCAAGTGGGTGTGTTTAACAATGAGATAAAATCAAATCTAACTCAAAATAGCAAACTAGCAATAATAAGAATATGAAAATCAATAATAAAATTGCTAGAGAAAAGAGTTAGAAAACTTCTCAATAGATCAAGAGGTAGAGGGAGAATAGTTGGAAGCTCAAACTTCAATAGATGATCTCCTCAAGCTCTTGTGGAATTGATTCACAAAACCGAAACACTCAAATACTTAAAAGCTTCTTAAACAAACTTAAAATCAAACTTAAACTCTTTTAAAACTTGTTAAAAACATTTT